CATACATATCGCGATATAGGCATAAGCACTTACGCATCACATATGCTTTTCATTGACAGGTGACAATGTTTATTCGCGGCATGCAAAACGCTCAAGGACCATGTGCTCTTCGCCCTAATGGTTGCTATCCGTTCAGACCAAGGGTTCCACGCGCATTTGTTTGTTTGTTAATGAGAGGGTCCCATTCGTCGATTTACTAAAAACAGGAATAAGGCTAGGCATATGAGCATCCCTGCATGCCAGTAGTCTGCTCACAAATATTCTTGTCAAACGGACTGTTGACATACTAGCCCGATACGACTACCGTCATGAAACTTTGCCCGCATCAGACATTCCTGACCACATGCGTGCGATGTTGAGACTGTGCAAACCCAAGGCGCTCTTCCGATGCCCTGAAGGGCCGCGGTTTTGCCAAATTGATGGCATCGCAATGGGCTCACCATTTGGAGTTTTGTTTGCCTGAGCCTTTCATATCCTCGGCTGAGCAAGAAGCTCTTGCCGATGATGTCATTAAAAATCATATCACGTGCGATATGTTGATGACAGTGGACATCAAAGATCTGATCACTCTGAACACGTTGAAAGCCAGACCAGAACTTATAGCAGGCCTAAATTTGGGGTCGCCGGTAGAGTAGTGGTTAACGTGCCTGCGTTATCATCTGCGCGTCTGGGAAAACCAGAGGCAAGGGGCCGATAAGGCGCCACGGTGCGGCCGGTATTAACAGCATAATCGGCGATCAGGACCGAGATAATAGTCATGTGATGCACTCACTCTTATGCTTGCATGTTTTGTACCAAATAAGCTTTTCGTTCATGCGTCGGCATATTTATATATGATTAACATCAATAAATAGGTGTATAGCAATACATTTATCTATACATTTACCACTATCAGCTTTAAACTAGGACCACTAGTCCACGCTGCCCGAGAGCCGTGCATGCCACTCGATCGTACGGCGCCATTAACTTCTTTATGCAACTCGCCGTCCATAAAAGGGAGTTTCACAAACACATCATTTGTCCAATTTGTCTTTTAACGGCTTCCACGCAGACCCGTTGTAGCGCTGAATCGAGAACGTGCGGCACGAGCGGCTGACCTCACTGTGTTCTACAGGTACGCATTCTCACGGAAAAGGAGGCTCTTTGTCCCAGGAATGTCCGTCCCTTTCCGTGAAAATGATGTATGTGAGGAGGTTTCTTGTATGGACGGGAGTTTATATATTTCTTTCATAGATTTATCTTTCATTCCTCTTTGCCCATTCTGCAGGTACCCATTCTCATGAAAAATGAGGGACATTTGTCCCATAAATGCCCCCCCCCCCCCCCCCTTCCGCGAGAGTTATGCATACGCGAAACCCTCTTTCACAGACGACGAGCTGTGTAAACAAGGCAACGCCGATTTACGATCGAATGGCGTGCACGTCCTTTTGCGCAGCAAGGACTAGCGGTGCTGGTCCTAAAGGCTAGAGTCCATCCTAGTAAGATAAGCACTGGAGGCCCTTACGTCTCCAGATTGGGGTAGGATTTGCCGCACATGTATGAATGGATGAAAAAGGAAATGCACGTGGGAGAAAATAGCATGACAGATATCATGTGAACTGCTTCCCGGGATATTTTATGTAGGAGAATCAGAGTGTAGTACTCGTGACCGGTTTGATGAACACCTTAGAGACACTCGTTTACGGAAAGGACACACCATTTATACATAAGAACTCATCAACATGTAACAATGGAGCATGGCGCAAGAAACGCCAACTTTAAAACAAAACAAACAAACTAGCAACAGCTTAACACAATGCAAACCTCAATATCTTTGAACTGCTGCATATTCGTAATCTCCGCCCTGGGCTGAACGTAAAAACTTTATTCGGGGACCTGGTTTTATAGATGCTTGTGCGCCGAGAGATGGCGGGTCAAAATGAAAAACTGGGATGCATAAAGGTTATGTGCTTCATATATATATATATATATATATATATATATATATATATATACATCAAAGTCCTTCAGCCCGTCACTGCTTCCGAAAACCTTCGGCAATGTGAAACGTTGCACTTGTATGGAGCACGCAATATAACCAAATTATTGAACTTTTCAGTAGTGTTGGTATCATATACATGTACATTGTTTTATATATGGAGTTACTTATATGCTTCCAAATTATTTGGATTCAGGTAATATATGAAGCAAAACATCCGTATCTGCTGCGTGCTTGGTCATTTTTGTAGCAACGCAAGTTGTAACTAAATAAGTCCAGTATTATTAGTGCTAACAGTGTTCAAGACGCTGCCGTCCAGCTGGACAACACGCGCTGCAACCAATCAACGCCCACGGCAGATCCCAGGCGACGGCGCGGCACGGCGCTGAGTGACAGCGAGTCACGAGTCAGCCTGGGTACAGTCATGTGCCCCCCGCCTGGTGACAATTAGCGCCAGGGCTGGCGACCGTCCGCCCCCTCAGCGCGGACACCGACCCCTGCCTGTCACCCCTGCCTGCTACGGCCGGAGCATCTCGGCGTGGCGGCGGACACTGCGGGTGGATGCACAGAGC